CCTGGCGGGGCTGGCGGCGCTCGGGCTCTGCGCGCTGCCCGCAGTGCGGTTCGCAGCGCCTGGACGGCCTCAAAGCCGCAGCAGGGTGCGCTGAGGGGACGGCCGCCTTCCGCGTCCGTCGGGCGGGACTGGCAGCGGATCCTCCCGCCCGCGCTGTTTCGGGGGAGAGGCGTCCCCGCGGCCTTTCTGTCCTCGGGAAAGCGAGGGCCGGGCTGGCGGGTCCTGCACACACTCAGAGAGCCCACAGCGCTCGGACACCGCGCTGCTGTCCCTCACCGGCTTGGAAGTGCTGTCCTTGCCTGAAGTTCCACTGCGATTTTAGCTGCAGGTTCTCCTTGAATGGACAGTGAAGCAAGCTCTTGACGTTTCTTATTAAGGCTTGTTAAGGGGAAGCAAAAAGCTTTTTTTACATTGCAGCTTTTAAGGAAAAAAAAACCAAAACCATCTGTCAGACAGATGTGCTGCTTCAGAGCTGTTTAGTGCCCAGGTACAATAGCAGTTTTAGACAAGCTTTCAATAGGGCCTCTAGGTGCTACCATAATGTAAATGTTTATTACTAGTACTACTAATAAATGTGAACCAGAATTGCTCTGCTCTCACTGAGGGGGGAGAGTCTTTTCTGTCATGCTGGAGACATTTGCTGTTTCACTCTTTACATAGGGATAGTTTAGGATGGTTCCATGTGGCAGTGGCATCACACCATTCACGTAGTATTTTAAAGTTCAGAAAACCCTGTGTTCAGGTTGGTGGGACAAAGACAGTATAAAAAATGTAGTTGCAGCTAGCACTGAATTTGATTCTGCTGTAGCAGACTGGATGTGTATTTTCTGTTTCTGAAGATCCACATGTGATTCAGGACCAAATTCACAGTGAGCTGGGGCAGCTTGTAGTTAATCCTTTATGCAGCTATTAATGTCCACATTTCAGACCTAATAACTTCCAAAGACAGGAAGGGTGACCCAGAGAGAAGAAATTAGGAGAGTAGGAGATCCTCTCTTATTAGCTGGCACGTTATTAGCTGCCACTAGCACATGAAAAGAAATGTGTTATAAAGGGTCCTATTGTGGACCACAGAACAGAAGAGGGGAAAGAAAAAAAAAAGAGTAAGAGGTAACTGAAACTGGGTAAAACTGGCTGTTTGTGCAGCTGCCCAGAAAGCAATTAGGATTAATTTTTAGATGAAGTGTCAGATAGGGTCTTTGTGTGTTTATATTAGCCACTGAAGAGTAAGGAGAGCACAGCTGACTAAGGCTGCAATTTTTGGATTTATTCACGTGATTTAGGGTTTGAAGTCACTTTAGAAAGTGGGAATTAAGCTTCCAGGCCACTTAGGGTGACATTTTCAAAGGCATCTAAGTCAAGTACATTTGATGGTGTCAGCATCTGCCTTAGGCATATGGGTAAAGTTATGTTCGTTGCTGATGTATTGTTTGCTGAGAGTACACTTACACAAATCAGCAAGGCCATTTTGTTTCACTTATTTAAAACTCTTTGTTAGACTGCAGCAGAGAGAAAACTCGAGCAGTAAGTGAACTACTTCCAGACAATACTGGTAATGGTCTATAATTCTTGCATTTATTAGATGGCTGTTTTTCTACCATAATGTTTTGGTAGCAAGCAAAAATTATAATCTCCAGATGCTCCTCCATGGACAGATCCTGCTTCTTCCTTCAAAAGCCAGAAATAATTGCAGGCTATCAATAATATTTCAATAAAACTATTCTTCAACTCTAGAAATGTCGATGAGAACTCAGACCATGAGACATATCGATTGCTGTATCAAGGTATGTCATACTTATTGCCTGAATTGCAGATAAGAGGACTTTGCCTCCAAGTTAGAGGCCCACAGGTTTTTCTGGAAGCAGCAGTAAAATGTAATGCCAGTCACCTTTCAAACAATATTTCAGCGCTTGCAAATCATTCAGTGTTTTGGAGAACAGTATTTTAAGTTTGCATTATATTTCATTTAATGTGGCATATAAAAATTTTCCTATGAAAACAACTCAAAAAAATCTTTCATAAGATTTTGTGGCTCAGTACTGGTACTTTGTTTAATGTAGTGTAACAATGTTTCCAAACTTTGGAAAACATACCCTGGAGCACTCAAATCAAGTTCTGTGTGAAAATAATGCCTTGGTTAGAAGTACAACCACATGGCAAGACTTACCATGAGAATGACTGCTCTGCCTGTTTGTTGTGTGTTGCATGACATTTATTGTCTGTGTGCAGAAACAGCTTTCTCGTGGGTGCACACAGAGACCTCCATTACATCCTCTATTTATACTGGTTCATCTGGGGGCAAGGCATAGAGTACGAGAACTGAAAGGAAGAAACACTGATTTTTGTGCTCTAAAGCCTGTTAAAAAAAATTAAGAAGAAAGTCAATATTCTTGTGAATTTGAAGCTTGTTGCTTAAGAAGCTCAGGGAAGGGATATGTCTCTGAGGTTCAAAGCCTAGCTGATGTAGTAAATGATAATGGTTTGGGTGAAGTGTGGCTGTCCCCTGGATAAAGTTTTGGTAGAGCTATGAAAAAGGACCAAACGGAAACAGGACATTAAGGTACATTGACAGGGGTGAATAGGAGCGCTGCTCTTTGTCATGAGTCTGTTTCACTTAAAAGTGGTGACCAAGGAGGGAGAAGCACTCAGTTCAGTCTTTCAGAAAACCTATTCTGCAATCAATAGGGAAAGCTCATGCAAAACCTGTTGCTTGGTTCATGACAACAGATTTTCAAGGACTACAGCTCTGATTTATCTGTGGCCTCAAAGTCCTTCCCAGAGGAGAAGAGGAACTTCATTTCCATTTTATAGACGAAGAAACAAAAGCAGAGAAAGCTTAAATGACTTGCCCGAGGAACGCACCTGGCTGGGAGCAGATCTAGCATTAATTAAAATGTCTCTATGTGTCAGTGCAGCTGTGGCCGCTCACAGAGGAGGCAGACAACTCAGCGGCCGATGTATTTTCCTGACCAGTGGACATGAACTCAGTGACGCCTTAAGGGGCCCAATTCTCCCTCTGTACCTTCATCAAAGTCAGTGGAAATTCCCAAGGGATGAATTTGACTTGTTCCATTTACACAGTGATGTATAAACAAAACACAAGAAGCAGCAGTCTACCTCCACAACCCCCCCAAGAAAACAGATCAAAGTGCTCTGATTTTGAGTCACTATACATGAATCCAGAAGTACAATTTAGTTTCTACGGATTACAAATCTTAAGGTACAGCTGCAGATGATGGTCTGATAGATGTTCTGCTTATTCGAAAGTGGTTTCTCTGATCTGTGGAGCAACAGTAACACCTAGTGGCTAAACGTGCCAGCCCATTGCCTCCTGTCTTTCCTTCCCTTCAAGAAGTACGAGTTGCAGGGGACATGGTGTGATTGACAGTTTTGACTTGCAAGGCCAACACTTAGGATCTCCAGGGATTTGGCATTTTCCTTTCAACCCCCACCATGTTCTGTTTTCTATTAAAAGTGGTAGATGAAATATGAAACTCTTCCTCCCACCACCCAACCCCCTTTACTTTTCTGGCTCATGGAGGAGGTTGTTCCAGTCCATCTTGATCTGTAGGTGGGTGGGCTGTGAGTGGCCGAGCCTACTGCTTCCAGCTTGGAGCACTCAGATTTCTGTAAGGAATTCAAGCTGCTTTTTTTTTTTTTTTTTGGTCTGAAAAGGATCAAGCAGATCATCTGATGGAGGTTGGTGACCTCAGTGCATTTGATAATGTGGTGTTAACTTGCCTGTGTTAAGGCAGACCAAACCGATCTGTTCCAAGAAGTCCCATTTCTTAAGATGTGGTATGCAGGATTGTTTGCCATGATCTACTGGCACTGCTAATTCATCAGAGAGGGACCCCCTAGAAAAATAGCATTTGAGAGGAAAGAACCCACAGATGTTTATTGTGTTAGCAGGAGAGCCCTTCAGAGGGTCTTCTTTCCCCCTCACAGGGGAAAATTTTAATTTTTCCATGGAAAAAAACATTAAGCAAAAGTATTTCTACTAAAGCTCAGATCATTTGCATTTGTAAATAGAGCCTCAACTCTTTGTGGGAATTGCAGAACTGAGAAATTATGGTCTTGTCATATTCATGCTCTCTAATTTTAGGCTTCTGATTTAGGTATTCTGAATTATCTATTGGAAGCATCTATTTAGGAGAGTCTTCACTGCCTGTTGACAAAGCCTGGAATGTTAATTTATACTGTGGATGCATGCTCTTTTACATATGACATAAAATTGTATTACCACCCACTCAAAGAAGTAGTATTGCCTCCATTCACATCCCCAGCTCTTGTTCTAGCTTCCTTCCAGTTACCTGTTTAGAAAGAGCTGATTCATTTGAAAACTAGACTGATGCCTCTGGGGAAAAAAAAATATTTTTTTTTTTAAAAAAATCAGCTCCCTGAACCTGTTCACTGCATAACTGCACAAAAAACTGGTGCTAACAGAAAGAAGGTAGTGAGGACCTGCAGGGATATGGCCAAGTGGCACAAGGATAAGACCATTTTTTTCAGCTACTGTGCAGATGTACACTGAATTAAAGCACACATATAGTCATACCTTTAGTCAGATTTCTTAAATTTGATGTTCTCAATATCTGTTTGTGAGAGCAGTCAAAGAGAAATACAGCCTGATGGTGACAAATGAGAAATATTGTGCTTGGCACCCTTTATTCTTAGAAGAGAGCATGGCAGCCTTCTTGGGCTAGGCGAAAAACATTTCTCTATGTTTGGTAAAAAGGGTTCTATAGGTGGTAGACTAGAAGGTACTGAAACAGGACAATCAAAGCATAATTGTTATTTGTGATTCACAAGGGCTCATGGAACCTTTTCTATTAGACCCGTATGCTTTTTGTTTTGAATATAAAATTTCAAAGTAAGTTTTGTTTCTTACTGACAGCTGTGGTGTCTGCCACCCCTGTT